AAAAGAAAAGAAAAGAAAAGAAAAGAAAAGAAAAGAAAAGAGGAAGAAATAAAAAAGTATTTTAAAAGAATAAAAAAGAGAAGGAGTACAAAAAAAAAACCGAAAGAGTGAAAGGAGGGAGATGGAAGGAAAATTAATATATTACAGAAGTAGTAACCACAGCAGTATCACAGTCATTCAGTGCAATATGTCTAAACATTCATAAATGTTTTATGCATCCTAAAATGCCATGTACAAGGGATATGGCATCCCACTGAGGTTAATGAATGAATGAGTTGCCCTTGAAGGTTAATTTGCACAAACAAAAGGTCAAGGGACATCTTCAAAACAAAATATTGATTAAAGCAAGTTAAATGTTTTGACTTGAAGGAGACATGAAGGATTAAAAAGCAAAATAAAGCAGTATGGATAAGAAAGGAACAGGAAAGAAAAAAACATCACCCCCAGACACAAAGGAAATGGTAGAAAACATATCTGAATCAGCTAGTCATCTGCTAACAAGCTGTAAAGATTTCCAATGACAAGTTGTCACATTAGTTTAGTGAAACTGAAGCAGCACTTATCCCTTTTCCTGTGCTTAATCTCTCAGCGAGCTGCACAGAAACATGCTACCATGTTTAATAGGATTAGTTTAGTTCACTTTCTCCTTTCTGGAGGTTGTGACTTTTTTTCCCCTTTTAATTATTTTATTTTTTAACAGTTCTATTTCCTTCAATACCGGGTTCTTGAATTAAATTCAAGACTCTGCTGAATCACCTAGGTTGCATTCATTCTCCAAGTTAAAGGCATTTTCCTCCAAAGGGAAACCCCTTTTGAAATGAGGAGCCAGGCAAAGGAAAGCAAGGAAAGGCTCTAAATTCAGCAATTACACACATCAGGCACATGGTTCTCTTTCTCACAGAGACTGATGATGCTTTGTTGATATCAGTATAGGTTTTTTAAATTTGCACCAGCAGAAGAGCAGAATCAGGCCTCGGTGGTTGTGGGGTGTTCTTTTTCTGCCCAAGAATACTTGGACTTTTCCCACCCCTGAAAAAAAAAAAAAAAGAGAAAATAAAAAAGAAAACCTGATATGTATTCGTAGCCCTGTTCCCTCATTTAGTTGGAACAGACACAGCAAGGAAAATGATCAAAGAAAAGGCAGTTTCAACAATATACCCCTGTCACTTCCAATTTTGTTGTCAGACTCCAAAGGGCCAGAGGAATCACCCATGGTCATGGGCACACAGCAGAAGTTTTCCCAAGTTTCTTGCATCTGGTTTTTGTTTGTTTTTTTTTTTTTTTTCCCTTAAAGAAAAAAAAAAAATGGAATGCAAGCACATAAAGCCATCAGCTTGCAGCAAAATATTTCAGAGGCACCAAAATCTGGAGGATTTTTTTCGAACACAGAACTGACAACTGTCATATCTGAATGACAAGTAGTATTTTGACCTGAAGTTGGTGACACACACCAAGCATTAAGCAGAGCAGAAGAGAACCCACAAATCTGAGCACACCCAGGCTTTGCATTCGAGCTTTGTGAACGAACATTGATTACTTTCCGTTTGGATCTAAAACACCCATAACTTAGAAAATAAACCTCACAATCTAGAAATGGCCAAGAAGAGGACTAGTGTCAACCTCATAGTCTATTAATTACTAGGAAAAAGACCCAGGACTTCTTCAGGAGTTTGCAGACAGACTGGAATGTATGACAGGTCACTAGCAGGGACCACAGTTGCAGGTGTTCAGGGGGCTGGGGGCAGCAAGGTATAGAAAAAGCCACACAACCACACACACCAGCTAGAGGCTGCCCTGCCACTGCCCAAGCCACCAGGCCCCAGAGAAGGCACCAGGGGTGGCTTTGCTCGCTACAGATCCTGAGCATGAGCTGCTGGCATGGACCCCTTCTGAGGGATTAAATTCTTGAGGGGAAAAAAGCTTTTCCTCCAACTCTAAAATTTGGGTGGTGGGTAGGGGATTACTTTTAATGCTGAGCTTCGAATCATCAGCTTGCATTCCTTAAGAGGCTGGCTGCCTATCCTCCAGGATTAAAAGAGTCTGGAGCACTCAGTGCCCGAGATGGTGGGGGGTGGGAAGTGTGAATTTCATTCCAGTTGCGCTTACTGGTGTGGCAAATCATAGGGCCCCTGTGTTTAGACTTGGAAAAGTCGCAAGACACAGGACGGGAGGGAGGTAACCTGCAAGCAGCTACAGAAAGGAGGCAGCAGGGCCGGAGGATAGGTGTAAGCCTGCGCACAAGCCTGGGGCCAAACTGGCTGCCACTGCTCTGCCATGTGACCCTGGGGACATCGCTTCACTCCCAGAGCCTCAGTTTCTCTTTTGGGTAAATTAACAGTGGTTCAAGTTTAGGTGAGTCCCGGTGGTGAGAAGCACAGTGTCAGAGGCAGCTATTTATTTATTTATTTGCTTTTTCACTGTTCCGCTTCTTCTCTACGAGTATCTCGGTGTCCTTTAAAACAACAACAACAAAAAAAAACAACCAACCAAACAAAAGAAAATAAATGAAAAAAAAAAAGAAATTAAAAAAAAGGAAAGAGTCCAAGCGAGACATTCCCCTGCCAAATTTAGCCTATCTCCCCCTGCGTCCAGACACACTTCTTCACCCTTGTCTCGCATCCCCTGCAGCACTTACAGCCACACCGGGAGGCTGAGCGTGTCACCCCGGCCAGCCGAGTCCCGAAAGAGCCCGCAGGGACGTGGCCCGGTCCGGCCGTGCTGCCCCTCCGCGCCCGCGGAGCGCAGCGCAGTCCCGGCCGCTCCCGTCGGGTCGCCCCAGCCCCGCCGCTCCCCGGCGGCGGAGGGCCCGGTGCCCCTGTTTCCAAAGGTGTCACGTTAAAATAATTCTCGGCAAAGCTGTTCCGCGGGCCTGAAGGACGCCACGGGCACCGGGCACCGATGCGGGGCCGCCCAGTGCTCGGACTGCGGGAGCAAAGCGCCAGCAGCGCAGCGTCCCGGGATGCGCCCCGTTACACCGGGGATTCGCGGTCACTCACAGCGCGGGGTTGTGGCCGGGCCTCGGAAGGCGGCACGGCACAGCAGGGCTTTTGCGAGGGTTCCCGGCCAGGAGCGGCTCTCTCAGTGCCGCGGGGCCGGGGAGCAGCGCGCTCCGAGCGGCAGAACACCCGCCCGCCCTCCGCCTGCGAGCCCCGACGGGCCGGGCGCCGCCGCCGCCGCCTAAGGGGTCGCCTCGCACGGGTACCGGGCTCTAGGGCGAGGGCTGCCAGCCGCATCTTCTCGCGATCCCGACACCGGCAGGGACATGTAATTTTTTAAACTCGGAGCGGCTCCCCTGCGACAGCTCCGGCAGTCGCTTCAGCCGGTCCCAAGCGATTTCTTAGCGATCGGTTGCGGGCGGGTTGTCGGGTTACTCATTAGTGACCCGCTCCCGGCCACGGAGGCAGCGCGGAGCCGCCCCCCGGCCCGAGGCGGCGGCCAGCCGGGCCCCGGCGGCGGGCACAGAGGAGCTGGTGCGGGGCACACGCGTTTCGCCCCCGTGGGCAGGGCAGGGCTGGCCCCGGAGGGCGGGTTTGCTGCCCGGGCCGGCTCCCAAACTTTTGGCACTGAGGGCAGTCCTCTCAGCACACTTGCTGTCCGCACCCGGGCGTGGGGCTCGGCGCCACGGCTCCCCTCTAAGTGAGGCGGATGCTCTCAGTGGAAGCGGGACTAGCGGAGCTGCTGCCCGCCTCAGCCGCGGCTCCAGCAGCAGGGCGAGCAGGGGGCGAGGTGTGGCCCGGCCCCTCGCCGCTGGCACAGAGTGGCAGCGCAAGTTTTGGTGCGCCTGCCCTGGCTGCCCTCGCCCCATCGGGGCTCTCCCCTCCACTCGGGACTCCTTCTCCCGCCGCCCCGAGGGGCGGGCGTGGACGGACGGGCCCGGCGAGGCAGCGCCGTCCTTACCTGTCGCCGAGTGCCCTGCAGCGCTCCACTGCCGCCCGGCCCTCCGCAGGACGTTATTCCCTCTCCCTGGTGTATCCCCCTCTGTCCGCAAGCCTGAGGCTGTTTCCCCTCGCTCAGCCTCGCCTTCCCGCCGGCAGCGGCCGGGCAAATCTCCACAGCAGCCGGGACCGGGGTGCGGGTGCTCCCTGTCCGGCGCCGCGGAAAGCCGTGGTCAGGCGGGACAGAGCGCGCCCGACAGGTTTCGGTCCGGATCGCAGCCCAGACCTGCCGAAATCCACTTTTCTGGGTTTTTTATCTCCCAGTGATTTTTTTACCCCCAAGCTTTCCACCAGAGCCGGCCGAGAGCAGGATGAGATAGGGTTAAGCTAACCTAAACTTGGGTCGTGCCGCGCAGGGGGCCGGGGCCGCCAGCACCGAAGACCCGTGTGTCAGTACCACCGGTTATTCTGCGCGCCGCAACCTGATGCTCGATTTCGTGTTTATTTCCTGCCTCCCACGTGGAAAATGCCCGCGCGGCTCCTGCTGACAGCCCCGCGACGCGCGGCGGAGCCGCTGCCGCGGGACTGCGGCGAGGGACGGCGTGCCGGGGCTGGGCGGCCGCGGGCCCGTTTCTCCTAAAGTTTGTGACCCGCGTGGGGCGGCAGCGTCCGCAAACGCGGGTTTGCTCCACTGCCCGATGCTTTACACGTGAAAGAGGCGCACCCTGGGGCCCCGACACTGCTCTGCCTAAGCTTTCACGCGTGGAAAACTTTACCGCCTGGGGCACCGCAGAGCAGCCGCCGCCCACGCGGGGGTGACTCTCCTAAACTTTGTCACCCATCCCTCTCTCTCCACGCGGGGCGGCTGCTGTCCGCCCCTTGCCGGTGCGCGGCAGAGGTGAGCGGGGCGCCCCGTCGGGCCGCTTCTGCCGGCGCTCCCGCCCCGCGTCCGCCCGTCCGTCCGTCCGTCCCTGCCGCAGGTGCGCGGCCGCCGCCACCTTCCCGCGGGGGCGGGGCGGGGCGACCCTAACCCCCCCGCGCTCCCCTCTCCTCTCTCCCCGCTCCTGCCAAGTTCTCCCCGTCCCCCCCGTCCGTCCCAAGGAGCCTCCCGATTGGGCGCCGGGCCGGGCCCACGTCACTCCGAGTGTGACGTCTAGTCTTCCTGTTTCCTTCAGCTGTGTCTTAAAGTAAATCTTGTGGCGGTGCGGAGCGCTGCTCGGCTCGGCCAGCCCAGCCCAGCCCAGCCCAGCCCTGCCCCGCGCCGCTCCCGCCGCCCCCGCTCCGCTCCGCTCCGCGCCGCTCCGCTCTTCTCGTGGCCCGCAGCCCCGCGGCCGCTTGCCCGCCCGCACTCCCGCCCGCGCTCGCCCTCCCCGGCGCGATTATCATATTCATCAGCGGCGGGGCTGCCGGCTACGCGCGCGTGTCCGCGTGTGCGTGTGTGCGTGTGCGGGGCGCGGGTGGTGTGTGTGTGCGTGTGTGTGTGTGCATGTGCGTGTGCGTGTCGCCCTTTCTCTCTCGTTCCACCGGCAAAAAAAAAAAAGCGAGGCTCAGTTTCGTCGCCTTTGCACCGAGTAAGTACCCGCTCCCCCTCCGCGCCCCCTCCGTCCCTCCCCGCTTTCTCGGCCTTTTCAGGTCTTTCGGGTTTTTTAAATTTTATTTTTTTTTATTTTTTTTTTACCCCTAAATTCGCACTTGCTTGGGCTGCTCTAAATGGTCCGGGGGGAGGGGGGCGGTGATGAAATCCCCAGCAAAATATTGATCACCGTTATCAAACCTGTGCTTCTTTTTCCAGGGGGCAAAATTGCAGTGACTTTATTAGCTGAGTAGTTTTAATTCCCCGGTAGATAAAGCGGTAAGGATTTGTGAGCGGTAAGGAGCCCGATGGAGCGCTCACCGTAGCCTGCCCAGGGCTGAAGAGTAAGTGACCTGCTCGTTGTTAGGTGATCCTTCCCCCCTTCCCCTTCGCTCTCTCGCTGCCACCTTTTGTGGACCGCTCCTTATTTTATTCCGTGGGTTGGAGGGCAGTTTTGCGGGGACAGAGAACGCAGCGAGTATTTGGCTTCTTGTTGTTGTTCCGAGCTTCTTTCTCCCACCGTCCCCGCCGAAGTTCCCCATCCCCGCTTTAAACTCCTGCTCCGCTCCTCCGAGCCTCCTCTTTGTCCTGTTTATTATAGCTGCCTTGCTTTTTGTCTCTTCCAATTTGCCTGTCATTTGCATGTCGCTACTTCTCCTTTTTAACCCAAGCCGGGAAGGACAGGGACTTTTTATTCTTACTCTTCTTACCCTTGCAATTACTTTTTCATTTCCGAGCGTGGGACGAGCTGCGAATCGTGGAAATGTATAGAAAATGGGATTTGAGTGGTAGGTAGCGAGCACATGAGAAGAGATCAAATGCAAGTCGCGGGATAAGAGCCTTGATCTGGGAAAAGATTAGGATTATTGGTACTTTCTGTTTGTTTGCTTGTTGTTTGCTGATTTTTTTTTTTTTTCCTCCGGGGGGGATTTAATTCTTTCTTAGCCGTTGATGGAGATCTTTCTTGGCTTTTTCGATTTTCTGTTTAGCGGCTGAGTGACCCGGCTCACTTTGCCATGTGTTTGCACGGAGTTAAAGCGCAGGAGGGAGCGGTGCTTGGGGGGCGTGGGGCCTGCGCGGAGGGGGCGCGCAGGGCAGCGCTGGGGGGGCGCGGCCCGGGCTTGGGGGGGCGCCGAGATCGCGGGGCCCGACAGGAGCGGGCGGCCCGACGGGCTCCCGGGGCACAGCTCCCCGGCACCGGGCACTCCGCGGGGGCGGAGCGGGGCCGCCCCGGGGCCCGCGGCTCTTTGCAGAGAGGCGGAAAGTTGCGCGGAGCCCCCGCGGTGGCTGCGCGGCGTCTGGTGGGGCAGGGCAGGGCCGGGGGGCCGGGGCAGGTGCGCGGGGCCGGGGCAGGTGCGGAGCGGGACGCGGGGGGTCCCGGCCGCCGCCGCCGCCTCCCCGCGCCGGGAGAGCCGGGGTCCCGGGGTCAGCAGCGGGAAGCGGCGCGGGATCAGTGTCCGCGGGCACTGCGGGGGGCGCGGGAGGCGCGGCCGAGGCGGGATGGAGCTCCCCGAGGGGCCGGCGTCGCTTTCGTGCTGTTGCGCCCCGGCCGCGGAAGAGCAGGTACGCGGGATATTAACTTAATGTCTTTGACAAAGTAGTGGATTTCGGTCAGGGCTGACAAGGGACATGGCTGCAGACTAGAGGTGCCCTTGAATGTCGGGCAAAAGTTGCCAGGACGAGCTTTGGAAAGCCGCTAGTTTCCCACAGGTCCCGAGCGCTCAGCAGACCCTGCGGTGTTTCTGGCTGTATGGCGAGTGTCACCCCAAACCCATCATCCGGGTCTGGGGACGGGTGGGGAGCACGTGGAACGCATCCACGCATCTGTGGCCATAGCTTGGTGGCAGAAGGTGCTGTGTTGTTGAGCGCGGGGTACAGAAACATGTTTGTGTCACCGCGAGGTGTAAAAGCTCAGATTATTTGTCACTTCCATCGCCTGTAGAGGTTTGGCAGTATGCAGGATGAATTATACGGAGGCAGTTTCCTTAGCCGTACATTTGCATGTGGTACAATATCCTTTATGTCTTCTCGCAGTTTTTCTCTGAGTTGCCGTCAATCACATAAAGTTTACAACCACTGCAGCCCATTTTGCATTTATTTTATGTGCTTTTTGTCCAGACCTTACCTTTAGTAGCGATGTCACATACTGTGAAACGTTTATTAATACTCAAGGGTAGGCAGACTATCAACATTTCAGGAGTTGAACTGTGATAAAAAGTACAATGTATATACTTTTCACTAACAGCTCCCTATTAAATTATTCTGTAGAGTATCTTGCGTTCGCTGATACGGTATATACAGTTAACTTCCCTCTCAGCTGAAGTCTGAGGCCTCTCAGTTTATATAACTTATCTCTTTTATGATTGCTTGATAAATTGGGATGTTCGTAAGAATGGACACATTTTCAAATGGAAATGTTTAATTTTATTCAGGGCAGAATTGTAAATACTGCAATTTGTAGTCTCTAAATAGTGATTTATTCTGACTCAAAGTGCAGCCTAACTGCTAAATTAAATAATTTAAGAATTGTGATTTAATGACATTGCATAGCATGGAAAAAAATAGTATATTGGAAAACTTGGGCTGAATTTATAGTAGGAATCTTGAGA